TTATGGAAACAAAACATTAGAGACGACTAATGAGACGAAGCCAGAATGCAGTGAGAATCGAAGAGCAATTACGATTATTACATACCACCAAAAGAGTCCTCATTTTTGTCCTCTGTCTAGCACGCATAATCTTACAATCAAATATTGTCCGGGTTTTGGATTGTTTTCACAATAGTTGGGTTGGAGGTTAAGCAAGGTTAAGAACTCCCATCCTTCACTCCAATTTTCATGCCAGGGACATGAAAGGAGCCCCCAACTGGGCATCCCTTGGGCAACTGTGATGTCACCGGCTAATCCTTTCAACATGGAAGTGCCTCAGTGCTTCTGACACAAGTGGATTTAAGTACCATATTAAACTAAAAAGAAGCAACCTATGTTTCAGTTGTGCATGATCCATGAATCGATCCCAGATTCCTTTGGTATTGAGATTCGGTTTCAATTAGAGAATGATCTTAGGCCCTTACAACAGTCCATCAGATAGAAATTCAGTTGACAGGAAGCATATTGGATTTCTGTTTGTCACAGATCTTTGAGAGCACAGCCATGTTGTTTTACTTTTGTTTTTCTTCTGTATTTTTTCAACCAGATTGGCCTAAACTGAAGTAATGGTAAAACCAATCTCAATCTGTGATGTTTTCATGGATGCATTCACACCTTTTCCTTGATTTTCCACCCTCTTCTTTCAAGATTTATGTTTGATTTTTCTGATCTTATCAGTTTTTCTTGGGATTTGTGCATGCAAGTATTAACAATAACTGGCCTTTCTTAGCTTGGGTTCACCTAACCTACCCCATTTGGGCCTAGCATGTTGGACAAAATAAAATCTCCAGAGCCCAGCCAGGATAAAAGATCATCTTGCCCAGAGGTTTTTCAAAGCCTTGGAAAGAAAAGGGAGCCTTTGAATACATATGCATTGAATTTTGTGTTGACAATAACTGCTGGACTACTGGGTGTTACATCAATTGCAAATGTGTTCCAGACTTCATTTAGGGTTCTGTTGAAACTAGTACCAGTAAGAAGAAAGGTAGTGGGTGAACTTTTGCTGCTTTGAAGCCAGACATAAAATGCAGTTAGAGCATCCAAGAAGCAATTATGGAATATTTTCTAACCAAAGAAAAATGTTGTTGTACCCTGGAGACATTCCCCATAGAGTCACAGTTCTGCTGAATAATTTCAGCATTTACTTACTGTTCGGCTTCCATGTTAGCCCAATGCTACATCTGGAAAGGACAGAAAAATGAAGATTGCAACCCAGTTGGCTGCAAAGAATAACAGTGTTGTCTAAAGTGACTCTGGAGATTAGGGAGCCATTCATAACAGTAAAGTTTAAATTCAAATTTGGGTAATACTTGAATAGGAGACCATCAGGGAAAAAAAAACAGAGCTGTAGACTAGATTCGGAATCTGGAAGACATCCAGGAGAAGGTAGTAATGAAACATGGCTGTATTTTGGTCAAGAAAAGCATTCAAAAATAGACTCATAATTAACAGGAGTCCAGTGTATGCCTTGTGGAAGTCAAAGTTCAGGTCAGACTTAAAACTCCTTTGGACCCTCATCACAAATTCCTTCTTCCAGAGAAAAAGGTAAATGTTTTAAAGAAGAGCGATGGCAGACAGAAGCCAGCCATGCTTCTTTTTCTTTCAGAGGAAAAGGACCCAGTGACATCTCCTTCCTCCCGGTCTGCAGAAGATTACTTGGAATCAGGTGGTCGGCCAGCTTCTTTCAGCAGATCAACGGGCAGTAAGTTGATTGAAGAGGCCCAGGGCAGGCAGCCTGGAACAAGTTGCCCTATTTTCCACCAACCAGAGAGCTGTTTTCAGTGCCCTCCTTGAAACCAGAAGGCCTCTCCTGCCAGAGACAGATAATAGTCCCACACTGCTTTTTAAAAGATGTTCCGTTCATTTTGAATGTAACTAATAATCTCTAAAAGGGTTAATCACACCAGATGGTTAAAAAGGAATAGCTCTGTCTTTATTCTGTGATGATTGTAAGAGGTAGGAGCCAGAACTGGTTGAACTGGCTGGATTCACATTTCAGTAGCATGTGCATTACTTTGGCCCCTCCATATCCTCCCATTAACTATTGGGTACAGTCAAAGCAGACCTTAGCACAAAAGAACCCACCCATTTTGCAGCGGATTTTTCAGGCCCCTCCGTCAACAGAAAAATCTAGAGATTTCCATTAGATTAGAAAGTATTTCCAATTCACCTGCAGGTGAATGCTTCTAGGCAAGTGAGCCTATGGGGACTGGTTGGCTAAATTCATGATTAAATTCATTTCCCCTCCTCGTGTAGTTAAGCAGCAGGGGAGGAAATTGCTAGAGACCGATGCTCTTTTGAATTTCTCCAAAAGTAGTAGCTAGTTGTGGAAAAGGAAAGAAAGGAATTATAACTTTATCCCCAAGTTGTTGGACATGATCTTTAAGAATGCAGGAAGGGACTTAACTCACTGGGATCTCTAGGTACAGTACTATAGTGAATAACAGACAGTGGGAGATTAAGATTTGGCTTTAGACCTAGTCCTCAGTTAACAACCGTAATTGGGACTGGCAACTCTGTCGCTAAATGATGCAGTCATAAAGGGTGACATCACACAACCATGCTGACTTACCATGGGCATGCCAGTTGTTAAGCATGTCATGTGACTTTCAGATGGCTTCCTCTTTGACTTTGACAGACGCAGGATGTGAAGGTTGCAAATGACAATGAATGCAGTATGCTGTGATGTCCACAACTATAAAGGCCAGTTATAAGTCTTCTTGTTCATCATCTTCGTAATTTTGAATGGTCACTGAACAAAGCATCACTAAGCAAGGACTATGTGTATTTTATACGGTATGTGCTCAAGGCAAACACCTGGCTTTTTTCAAAGTTAATTTTCTTTGAGGCCTAATTGCCATCTTAGATGGGCCTATCCATTGTCCCCCATTCTTCTTTTGAAGTCTGATCATTTCTACCTGCCTGATATCCCTTGTGGTATTTTCTTTACTGTTTTGTGTGTTCCAAATAAACTCTACTGTTGTAAATAGTGCCACTGCCACATTATGCTGTGGGTGGATTTATAATCTGATCACATGCTTCAGTAGGCCTAGACCTCCCCAGGCTGACCTACTGTATTGGACTAAAACTACCTTTGCAATTCTCAGCTAGCTAAAACTGGAGAAACTATTGCCTTTCTTTTGCCCTTGGTCCCATAAGGGGCAGAAAAGAAGACACTAGCAGGAAATGCTGGCTGAAAGAAATTACTGCTGCATCATCCTGAGCTGACCCAGTTGAGTGGGGCAGGTCTGATGGTAAACACAGCCTTCATCAGCATCAGCATTTTAGCCATTGTCTATCCACTGCAGGATGAAGGCCTCTTCTGTATGTTTCCAACCAATATGATCCTGAGCTTTCTTTTGCCAGTTGGGCCCACAATACTTGCTGATGTCATCGATCCGTCTTATTTTAGGTCACTTTCATGGACGCTTTTTATCAAGTGTGATCCATTCTATGACTGCTTTGGTCCACCTGCCATCAGTTCTTCTTGCTATGGGACCAGCTTATTTCCATTTCAATACTTTTTACTCTCTTGATGATATCGTATACTCTCGTTTGTTCTCTAATCCATGTGCAGGTCTTTCTGACTTGTCTTGTAATGCCGAGCATGTATCTTTCCATGGCTGTTTGCGCCACTTGTAGCTTTTGTATTGATTGTGAGATTAGGATCCACATTTCACTGGCATATGTTAGAGCACATAGCACACACTGATTGAAAACTTTTCTCTTCAGTCATAGGGGGAGATTGTTCTTGAAAATTATGCTTAGCTTGCTGAACGCCTGCCAACCACATTTAACACAGCATTCAATTTCCTTTATTGTATCGCCTTCTATTGAGATCTGTTGGCCAAGGTATGTGTAGTGATCTACTATGTCTAGTTCTTCTCCAGATATATTTTTTTTCTTCCTTCCTTCCTTCCTTCCTTCCTTCCTTCCTTCCTTCCTTCCTTCCTTCCTTCCTTCCTTCCTTCCTTTCTTTCTT